CTGATTTTCTTTAGCTTTTATGGTTCTCTTGTAACTTCCTTTTCCAGTATTCTTTTTACTTTTATTTATTTGTTTCCTTCTCTGCTTCATCCCAATCTTGCTTGATCCCTCTTATAGAGCAGTGCATGGTTTTGTTAATCTCCTACCCACAGTGGTGCTATGCCCATGATTTCACTACAAGTTGCAGTATCACAACATTGCCACATTCTACGATATCTCAATCCTCTCTAAAAATTTGCTATTGTATTAACAGGGAGGCTGTCTGGAAATTCTGCCTAAATTACAGTTGAGAGTTTGTCAAAACTTAGCAGACAAATCTCACCAGTTATTGTTATTGTTTAAATGGGTGCTAGAAATTGTGAAAATTGCTCTATCTTGGGAATTTCATACATTTCATTGCCAATGAGAAGCAATGCTCCATCTCCAGCAATTTCTAGTATGGACCAATATATATCCATTATAGTTACCAAAAAAAGAGGTTATTTGCCATTAAATATTCCATTAAATGACCCAAGTTAGCTCAACACATCAGCTTTGTTTCTTCATCTTTATTCCACTGGCTAGGAAATGCTTTATTACTCATTGCATCAGATATAATAGATATAGATTCAGATTGGCAATTCAACAGTTTCAATTATTCAGCTTTGTTCAAATGTAAATCGTAATGTTCAGAGCAGAATACGCAAGCTTTACATTACTGGTTCACAGTTTTATATCTTCCCCGGAGGAGAAGAAAAAAACCACAGCCCCCTTTGACTGTGAAACTCCACCTATTGGAAAGCATGGAACTGCAAAAATCTATTCTACCAAGCCCATTCCTTCTACTTCACATAAGGCTATCACGTCATCAATATTACCTCAGCTTATTTCTGGGGAAAACCACAGAATTGAGAATTTCTGAACCCCAAAGTCAATTGATCAATAACTCCATAATATTACTTAATTCTTACATTTCTACTATTGCAACCTCACCAATCTTTTTATCCACCAATAACTCCAGAAGTGCTTTCCGAATCCTTTATCGGTTCTGTAAAAATCAGGGGACACAGAACTGTCCATTGTGGAACTATACTAGTCACTTCTTCAAGATCAAAAAAATCAACACCTTTCTGTTTCTAATTTTACATCTAATTGAATCAGATTCTTCTAATTTAGTTCTCCGAAACTCCCAGTGATCTCACTTATTTTGCAATCTTTGCCTTGTGTGAGTTTCCAGACCCCTCAAGGCTGACAATAGGTCTATGTAAGATAATTTTACAACTTTATCATTGAAGGCCACAATGGCAAATCCTGTTCTTGTATAATACATGATGTTAACAATCCAGCACTTGTCTGGAGAATTATACATTGCTTTGAAAGGCTCATTGCATGGAGTTGCAGATTAGTATTCATCTTTAAGAGTTCATTATTTAGTATATTTTTTCTCAAGCTCTTCTGGCTATTTCTTGGTTGAAGAATATTGATTCAGAAGTCTGCTTAAAAGTTAAGCAAACTTTAAACTCATGGTCAATGATTTGTTTGGACAACCTCACAGGAAAAAATAAGCAGGTTTTGGAGGACTATAAAGTAGCTTATTTTAAAGTTGATAATCCAGTACATTTAAAAATAATTACATGCAACTTTAACTCATTATAATCTCAAACTCCAGCTCAGTCTTTCTAAAATGGTTTGAGATATAACAACAACAACCTGGATTTATATAGCACCCTCCACGCCGGACGGCGTCTCAGAGCGCTTTACAGTAACGGATCCCGGGGCCGAACCAGGGGACTTATATATGCATATTTCCAATGTGATAGGTGATATATAGGTAGTGAAAAGATTGATGATAGATAGATAGATCGATAGATCGACAGGCAGGCAGGCAGGCAGGCAGGCAAACAGACAGACAGATAGGTAATATGTAGGTCTCGGTAGTCCAGATGCTGAGACACAATACTCCAGGGCACTGCTGAAGACAGCACAGCCAGCCTGGCTCATCGGCAGGACCTGGAATGGCAGACCAGTCACTAGGGGCAGGGACTCCTCCCACTCAGCTCCTGTTAACTCTGCAAGCTAAAGCCCTAACAGGTAGGGTGGTCCTAGATGGACACGCAGTGGGGAACCTTGCCAGACAATGCTATCAATGGCAAGCTATGCGATTTTAGCTGGTTAAATTCCAGCAGTTACCCCAACACACACTCTGGGGTCCCCAAGCCTTTGCTCTTGCCAACCTGCACCTAATACTTTCCAGAACTAGATAAGCTGGATGTGTGCCTCTAGGGAGAGAATGTGCATACCATTCAAACAATTTATTCTTAAGTATGGTGATGGGTTTCCCATGTGTCAGATACCCGGCTGACACCCAAAAAAGGAAATGCTCAAGATGCTTCCACATTGCAGATGTAAATCAACAAAAGTTATTTTCCTATTTCATGGAGGCGCACTTGTCACTGAGTTTTATTCATAATGAGATCTAAATTATTACTTTCTCCAAGCTAATCTTTGCCTAACACATCTTGCAATGGACTTCAGTCATGTTGTCATATACCTTCAATCATACTGTCATATCCAGCTGCCTTTGCCCTTGGCTGCTGACAGTTAAAGAATAAATACAGTAGTCATATGGTGCAGAAAAGTCTGATGTTTCAAGGTAAGTAAACTAAAATAATTGTCTTACATTATTGTAGAAATGACTATTAATCCATTATAAAAATTAATGACAGTATTATTTTATAGAGATGCAGTAATTTATACAAATACAATCTGATACTTTCATGCTTATGCAGAGAATTAAAGATTTGCAATGCACGTCTGCAGGATTGAATGCTTTGAGACTTTGGATATTCAGTGTGGGAAGTGAATTTAAGACATTAGAAATGACAAATTTCTAGATATTAAAATGTTGTTTAAGTTAATGAAACCGAGTTGTTTCCTGCACAAACATTATGTTATACAAACTGTAAAATACACCCTGCATGTTCCTAATTAGCAGATAGGCCTTGCTGTGCAAACCTTGTAATGCCTTTTGAATGTGCTTCATTCAAGATAAGAGACCAACCTCACAAAATACAAAGATGTCCACACATCTCTGTCTACTTGGAGATACAAACAATTCATCAAACAGCTTGGGGTTAATTGAATCAGGATCCTTTACTAAGAAGCAAACCACAGGCAAATGATGATAAGTTAATCAATAAATGTATCTGGAATTTAGAATTAAGATACCATTTGAGCCTAAAGTGTTAAGAGGCTAATCGTTAGACCACAAAACCAAGATTTTTTGAATCATCTGAAGCCTTAGGGAAAGATCATTATCAATCTGTGATTTTTTTTTGTTCAATGATTGGGGGCAGTGTTGTATCAGAGTTCAATACTTCTGACCTCTTGGTCAAGGCCATTTACAATCAATGTAAACTAAGGGCCACTCTTGTATTTTTTTAGTCCTGTTGAGTCCTGAATTTAATTAGAACCAAAATAAGATGTAGAACAGCCTACCAACAGTAACAACAACTTACATTTATATAGCAGCTGATGAGGGGGAATCCAAGTTCAAGGAAAATTGCTTTAACTTCCAATATCTATTAGTATTTTACAACAACGCCCTTCCAGTGGAGTAGCGTCCCAGACCGCTCGATTTTAGCATTGTCCAACTAAAGTAATGAGTAGAAGGAAGTGTAAATCAGGCTACTTACTCTACATTACTTTACTGCTGGAAGCGATACTGTTTGGTTTCAATAGTGTAATCTGGACATAAACTGCACTTAAAAGATAATTGATGTTGTCTTTCTGAGTTTGAGTAAGTGAACCAAAAATAAGACACTCTCTGTCCTACAAAAAAAAAGCAACTACTCTTGCTAAACATAGGCAGGAAATAGAGAGCACACAAACAGGAGCTGTGAAATATGATTTGAACCTCGTAAGGTGGGTAACCCACAAATCCAAATCATACTTTCTATTCTACACACGCATTTAGAGAAAATAGTCTGTTGGCTACGAGTTTGAATTTAGATGAGAACTAAATTGAAGGGTAAGCGAAGGAGAAGTTCAGGTGGAATCACAGATGGTATTATTTTGTTCTTCCCACTGTACTTTCCTTAATGGTGGTGCTTCTAGCAAACAGGATTGTGAATATTGGGTTATGAAATTCTCAGCAGACAAACCTCAAATTCCAAGCTTGCAAAGTTAAAATAAAAATAAATATCTGATGTGCAAAACAGCGGCTGGAAAGTTGGGATTGAGAACTTTAGATTCCCAGTTTGCCAACCGTGAATTTCACAATTCGATATTCACAAAGTGCAAGTTGCAAATAAAGCAACAAATCTGATTTGAGGATACATCATTGAATTCTAGACTCCATTGTCTCTATGTAACATGGAAAATGTTTGTTCAAGATGTTATTAAAGTATGATATTACAATTGATTATCTTTGCGAGTCAGAATTTTAAAGACTTGCCTCATGGTTGAATTGGGCTTTTATATACTCTCAATAAAGTTGCATCAGAAAATATTCTCTGTAGTAGTTGAAGAGATGTATTCTCTGGTTAGAACAGCTTGACATTCATAGTTGTCCTTTCCACTTGAGGTGTTGGTATTATTTCCTTTGACTAAGTTATTTAGAACAGGTTTCTTCAATTTTAGGCAAAGTGAGACAAAATTACTTTGGTTTCATTAAGTAACTAACACAAAAAGAGATTTTGCTGTCTGCTTCATTGGCTCAATCGGGTTAGATTAAGAACAGTATGGTTACTCCTCCCTTCCCCCCAGGATCCCAAAGACACGTTTGAATGATTAAGTGTTAATGATGAAAATTGCTGCACAGATTTTTGTTTTTTCAAAATTGAGTAGAGGCTATAAAATATTAGAATTAAAACTCTCAATCCTGATTTTAAATCAGATTAGGATTAATTGTAAATGGTTTGTAATTGCTTAAGTAAATTCTTTAAATGTGAAATTTATTAAAACTACTCAGAAGCCATGAAAACTTTCCATCTCATGGTTTCTTCATTTTCTTATTACAGGTGGCTAATCTTGCTTGCTCAATGTCAACTAATGAGGAAGGAATCAAGATTGTTCAGATAGCAACGAACCGCATTGAAACTATGTGTCCTCAGGTATGGAATACTAAAATGCATAATTTAAAATAAATACTTAATATTTTAATGAAAAATTACATGGAGAGTGCTAAAAGCAGATACTGAGAATCTGTGGTAGAACATTGCTGGGTAGTTACACCACTTAACTGTAAGGGAAAGAACATTGATCAAGCCTAACTATTTCTATTTTAATTAACATGATCTATGCAACATCTTTTCTTTAAATCATGCATGAACTTATTCTGTGCTTGCAGCCATCTTATGGATTCATGCGTGAGTGAAAGGAAAATGACACTCTAATTATTTAGTTATTTTAAAATACTTCAAACAAATCTTTCTCATTGAATAATTTAATACCAAAAGAATTGCCACTGATCATTATGGAGCAAATGTTAACTTCCAAAACATTATTCTATTATTTCTATAAATATTTATTTTATAGAACAAATGATAAAAGCAATGCTACTGTTTTTCTTTCCTTAAGTATTTCCCCAGAGAGGTAGCTTTTAAACTTCAGCTAGAAGGGGAAAGGTAAGGTGCAGAATGTTAATACATTGATAAGGTCCAATTGCAATTGCAACATAGATGACAGTCACTTTATTTCCATTGTTCCAAAGATAGATTGTCCTGAAAAGAACAGTCCAGCAAAATGAACACCACAGTTAACTTTTCATGGTTGTATTAGTTAACTATGAATTTCTAAACCACAAAAATATGAAAATAAAGTAGAAGATAAAGTTGAGCATATTTAAGTAGTTGACATTTATTCAAGGAAATTCATACCCATTTTACATTATCAATCTTAATTTGGCATAAATATGTACTACTTTGTCAAAAACACATTTTTGACGTGAGATCAATTATGTCACTATTTTCAATTATTTTTATAATGCATACATGCCTTTATGCTATCTTCTATTCCAAAGAGTGAAAAAGTATATTGACTCGAAGAAAAAACGGCAGCATGTTACTTTTATAGGTAGCTACATTAGTTTCATGTTACTTGAACACCCATCAACTCTTACACCGACAATGTATTGGCTCTTCACAGTACTATACCTGTTCATTTTCAGGCATTATCTAGTAGAATGGCGGTACAGGCTCGAGGGGCTGAATGGCCTACTCTTGTTGCTATGTTCCTCACTTTGATTTGTCATTTAAATTCATCACTTTTTATTAAACCCAAAAATAAATCGTTTGGCTTGGCTCAACATGGATACGACTTTGCAGCAATATTTGGTGCAGGAATGGACCCAGCTGTCCCTTTGGAAAAAGCTGATTGAAATTGAAGATGACTGTTGTTCTTTGATGCAGACATTCAGCCACCCTGTAGCCATCTTGTTGATTTTATGTTTATATAAAACATTTGCCTGTTTTGCATTGCCTTTGTACTGTTCCTGTCAGATCAATGGATATTGATTGTTCACAATTACTGGCAGTAGGTCTGGTTTGTGGTGGATAAAAGTGATAATACCATTTGAAGTGAATGACCTTGTGCCTATGTCACTGCCCAAGGGTTGTCTAATTATTTCAGAATCATAATGGCACAGTGAAAAGTTTTTTCCCTCTTCTCCTAAATGTTTTGACTGTTCTTGAAGTAGTGCTCCACAATCCCTTGAAAGCTCACCCACATGCCCTTGTCTTTAGTATAAGGAAATGAATGTCACTTGTTAATTGTGGAGGGTATTGCAGTCAAGCCCTATCATGTTTTTATCTGACTTTACATTGGAGAGGCACTGGGTAGCAATTGGGAATGAGTATTCTGACTGATTTTCCATCTTTAACACAGTAAGGTTAATTCCAGTATTCCAACTGCTCCCCAAGCCTTGATCAGCTCTTTCAGCACAGACCTGTGATCTTCTGGTGATGCAGGTTTTTATTTTATATATTAGAGTAATTCCTGGACACATGAAACTAATTTGGATCTTGTGAGTCACTTGAAGTACTGGAAATGAATTACAAGTCAATGGTAATGTGAAGTGACCCTAGGTATTTAAATGAGAACCATATACTAGAATTTCCAGTACAACCAACAAGCAGTCTTTCTTTGAATAATTCCAATCCAACAATCCATCTTTATAATTAAATGAAAATGAAAATTGCTGCGCTTCCAAAACGTCCTCATCTTATTTGTGGGAAGTTTACACTTCTGCTTTGGGTTTTGGCACAATGAAACCAGTCTTATAAAACTGATTATTTAAACATAAATAAATATTTCTATATATTTATATTCACGTATGCATACTTGCAGTCATGTTAAATACCACCCTCCTTATTGGAATAGAATTATATGAAGAAGAATGAATCATGAAATATGACAATTCAAATGTCTGTTATAGGATACACTCTGTTGCTCTACAAGATAAATACTTGTTAGATAATCCCTTATTTGGTTTAAAATCTCATTTAATACATCTAAAGCCTCACACCTGCCTCCGTTATACGTTATATTTTGCTTTTAGAAAAAGAGTGGAAAACAAGAACAATTCCAATATAGTTGGACCTAGAACAGAAGGAAAATGCAGAATGATTTTCGATCCCCATTAAAAGTATGTGAATCAGAAGTATTGATTTATTCTTGAATCATTCCCAAGTCCTAAAGAAATGCCAGATTTTTTTGATCTATATTTCTAGCAGCAGGTTTTTTTTGGAACAATGGAGAACAACACTTTGCAGACTGCTTTTTTCCTCTTGAGACATTTTGGAAAAATGACTGATGATTATGTGTACCCCTGCAAATTCAGAATGCGGGTATTGAGTACTTCAAAGTCAAATATGCCATTAAAGTTTTAAATTTGAGGATCCACATCGTTATCACTGAAGTAGGAAATTAATAAAAGTGCTTTTTTTTGTCACCATGATATTCAGTTTTTTTAAGTCTTTCAAGAAGAGATTGTAAATAACTAACCTGTTAAGACTGACATAGCTAGAAACACTTTGCAATCTGTGCAGTAATCTTGTTCATATTTACAATCAATAAATGCATTTAGTTTTCATTGTGTGTGTGCTATAAAGGGAATGTGCGATGAGCTTCCATGGGCTATGGATTATATACCACTAATGGTGCTGGATATAACCCATTCATGATTTTGTCTTCTGAAGTACCAAGTGAGCTCACTCACACAATGAAAATTCCTATCACAATGCACCTTTTCATCTATTCCTATTTCATCTATTCATTCGCAGACTCAAACCCACCACCTGCTCCATCGATCCCATCCCCACCTCTGTCCTCATCTCCCAGCTCCACCTTCTGGCCCCTCTCCTGTCCGACATCATCAACCTCTCCTTATCCATTGGTTCAGTTCGCACCCCCCTAAAAACAGCCGTCATCACCCCCATCCTGAAAAAACCTTCCCTGGACCCATCCCTCCTCTCCAGCTACCGCCCCATCTCTAACCTCCCATTCCTCTCCAAGATCCTGGAATGAGTCATCGATAATCCAGCAGCCCGTGTCCTCTCCCACACCAAACTCCATGACCCCATCTCCCCCCTCCTCTTCGACCATGCCATCGATCACCCTCCTTCCCCTCCCCTCCCTGACCCCAGCTCAGGTCTGAAGTGCCTTACACTGTTCAGCACCTTGGGACATTCTCCTGACATGAAGGCGTTATACAAATGTAATGTTATTGTATTCCTAATATCTTTCCATTTCAGCTTTTGTGCAGGAGCTCAAGGTTGTTACACTGGAAATGATCAACTGGTTGATCAGCAATTACATTTGTTTATTCAGCTATTTGTAATGGGTATAGTGTAGGGATAGAGCATTTCACCAACAAAATATATATTCAATTCATTTTACAATATATTCTGTGAAGCACTTTGAGACGTCTCGAAGACATGATAAGGTTCTATATCAAATGCAAATATCTTCCCATACCAAATCTCATCAACCTTCATTATGAAGTTAGTTTTCAAACCAAACAGTTAATTTGTCTTCAATGCCAAGAGTTTTAGCCTTTAATAATTCTTGCATAACAATGTAATATTTGCTGTCTTCCAGTCTTTGAGTTCTTAAAACTGTTCTTTTGTTCTTAAAACTATTAACCAGAGAATTATCTATTTCCTCTTGCATTTTGTTGAAGATCAGCAAGTGCATTCCATTTAATACCAGGAATTCCTAGTTTTGCTCTTTTTAAGTCATTATTTAAACATTGTGGATGAACTGGGAATTGCTGTACTTAAATCATCATTTAAATTTGGAAATTGCACGTCTACATCTAATATAGTACACTATGTGCAAATGCCAGACAGAATGCACATTTGATTATTTCAATAGATTGCTGGGGAATTTTTTAACAATTAGGGTAGAAGGAACTTCAAGGGGATTTTCAGATAATGCACTTTTCAAAGAGATTTACTGCAGATGTACAAATATTGATTTTATATATAAATGCCCATCTATACACAAGGCAATAGCAATTTCTCAAATCCTTCTAGTTTTGCTGATGTAGAATATCTCAAGGCTGCTTGTTAAAGAGAGATACATATAAAACAGTATAAATTTATATTTCTCGGTTTTGTGCAAGATGTTATGCTAAAGTGGAATTCTCTGAAGTTTTTTTTATTTGACAGATTCTTTTTAATTTGAGCCTAAATTTAATCAAAGAGATCCCTTCTTCGGTTTGAATTCAGAAGAAAAATGATTGTGGTAAATCTTTTATTTTTTGCCACAAGGTGGCTCTAGTCAATATAATATATATGCATATATCTTACTGTAAAGTCATTTGCAAGAATGCTGAAGACGTCTCGTATCAATGCACTGTTCCATACAAATTATTTCAGCATAGCATTCTGTGGTTACATTTCAGGTCGAAACAAATCAATCAACATAAAGAACATTACTTGTGGCATAACCATCATGTTTCATTTGTGTAAACTCATAATTTTGAAATTTTAAAACAAAAAGACACGTAGGTACAAAATTACTTCATTTTTTTAAAAAAAAGACACAAAACCATGGTGTTCGAGGAGCTTAAATATACATAAAACAACAAAGATTTGATTTCAATTTTATT